ATCATTTTCATTTCATGTTGCATTGTTGAATGCTGCTGGTTCTGGTGTTTCCGCATCTGTGGAAGAATGCACGCAGATGCGAGTCCACAGGTGCGGATAATTGACCGCAAAAGTGAAGTTTGGGCTGGTGAACTAGAGTCCTAGGTGCGAAGATTCTCCCGCACCTGCGTAGTCGCAAAAGCGGGATTTTTAGCGCAGAAGCGGATGTTGCGCAGGTGCGATGGGCTTTTTCGCACCTGCGGTTACGCAGATGGGTTGTATGGATCGCAGAAGCGGGGGCCCAGTTTTAGTATTTTACCACAGAAGCGGAGATTCGGTCGCTTCTACGACACCGCAGATGCGGTTAAGTGTTCGCAGAAGCAGAAGTACTGAGCAGAATGATAAATACAAGGGTTCGCGATTTTGGCTTCATTTTGACATTTCCAAGCTCGGATTGAGGCAATTTTGGGAGCAATTCTCACCCTATGAATTGGGGTAAGTGTTCAAACTCTGTCTTGATTATATTTCATGAATCTATCTTCATTTTTAGCAATTGGTTGATGAATTGAAAGAGGAAATTGGGAGTTTTGGCCTAAAGTTTCATAATATGAATTTTTGAGTTTTGAACATCGAATTGGAGTCGGAATTGAGTGAAACTAGTATGGTTGGACTTGTAACTGAATAGGCTATCGGATTTTGTGAGTTTTATCGGGTTTCGAGGTGCGGGCCCGGGTATGATTTTTGGCCGGATTTGGGATTTGATTTTGGATTCGATCTTTATCATTTTAATGGTTTCCTTGGGCTTTATCTGATGTATTTAAGTTGCTTTTGGCTAGTTTTGAGCCGTTTGGAGGTCGCTACGCGCGTGATGGCATTCTTGGAGCATCACTTGGCTTGTTCGGTGTCAGAATTGGCTTGATTAAGATAAGTAACTCTTCTAAACTTAGTGCTGAGGGTATAAAACGCCAAATTACGTGCTATGTGATTGATGTTGAGGTGACGCATATGCTAGGTGACGAGCGTGGGCGTGCACCCTGTGAATTGTGACTATGTTGTTTCCAGGGCACTGAATAGCGATCCTATTTTGTTGATATATGTAATTTCACCATGTGATAAAGTAAAAGAGCTGTACATCATGCTCGATATCATGTTTAGGCTTTATGTTGATATTGTTGGGACCCATAGTGGTCGTTTCTTGTTGTCATCTTATTGATTTCATCGATATTTCGTACTCAGTCACATTCATGCATTCAAATCATATCTCAGTCTCAGTTGTTACTTATTAATACATCATATCATTGTTCCGAGTCAGTTTCATGACATTGTGAGCCCGTGGGTGAGATTGGAGAGGTTGATGACTGAGTGAGGTCGAGAGTTGTCCGTGCAGCACGTGAGTTGTCCGTGCGGATTATAGCACTTGGGCTGAAGGAGCCCCTCTGGAGTCTGCACACCTCCAGTGAGTGCAGTTGATTATATTAAGGGATGGATCTTCACTTGGTATGGAGATAGATCTTCTCCAAGAGGCTGGATTGGCCTGTTTCCTCTGTACTGGAGACTGATGGTCAGTGATGTATATATTCTGGGATGGATCTTTCCTGGGCCGTATGAGCCATATACAATACCGAGTAGTTGAGCATTTATATATATA